CACACACACACACATCCATTTACTTGCATCAAAATGAGGACACTGTATTGACTTCCATTCATTTTTGTAACTGTATTTATGCCTAACCAGACATTTTCCCCAAAACACTAACCTTCCTAACACTAACCTGAACCAAAACTTAAGTCACACAATACCTCTAACCTAACTAGTAAAGCACTGTAGAGCTGCAAATAAAGTGAGGATTGAAGAGGTCCCCACTTTACATTAAAGACCTTGCTTTGATAGTATACTATGGTGCAAATGGTTCTCACTCTGTAGTAAAAACAAGTACACACACACACTCAGGTAATGGCTGGCAGAGGCCTGACTGTACTTCTGTTCACATAATCAGCCTTCGTGCAAACAGCTGAGAAGCTTTTACTGACTGCTAAGAGAAAAAAAATAAAAGATGACTTTTAATAATAATACAAGTGGAACTTTTAATGCTGAAAAAAAAACACCCAGATTATTTTCTGCATAACATGTTCATTTTTTTTTGCTTTGTGGGGTTATGTCTTCCCAGGATTTGTATTCTTTTTCAGCTGGARGGAAGTGAATTACGGTGCTTTGAAAACATTTTCAGACCCCTTGAATTTTTCCACATATTGTTTGGCGTGTTTCTTGGTCTTTGTGGTGCTGTTTAATCATTAATGCTCTGTAACYAACCTCTGAGGCAGAACAGCTGTGTTTAAACGGAGTCACACAGGTGYGCTCCATTAACTAATTAGGTGATTTCTGAAGGCGACTGGTTGCACTGGATTTTAGTTGGAGGTAAACGGCTGATGACAAGAGGAACGCCACACTTTTCAGATTTGTATTTGCAAAAAGGTTTTTAAACTTATTCCAGTTTACAATTATGTGCCTCTTTGTGTTATTTTATCTTATGAAATCATAGTTTGTGGTAACATGACAAAATGTGTGTGTGTGTGTGTGGGCGGGTAATTTTTAAGACGATGTACAAGTGTCTAATGCCTCTGAGTTTGAGTTCAGGATTTCTGATCCTGTCAAGTGTTCGTGAATATATTTTGAGAAATAAAAAAGATCTGTATCTGAGTATTTTCTGCCCCTGAAGTAAAGGCTTCTATTTGGCCCTGATGAAATCTTTTGCCCTCTATGATTGTGTGTGGAAACAAAACAAAACAAAAAAAAACTTGCTTTGCTTCAGCTTGAGGACAAATGGAGCATCGGACCACAGCCCCTCGGTTGGTTTATTGTCATGTTTGATGTTGACAGGCCTGACATGTTCAAACCTACGCACCCGCTTCGGATGTTATCATGCATTAAATGGACGTTATTTGCCATTATCAGTCCCATAGACTGGCTTTAGACTGTCCCGACTGTGCCACCTAGTGGGTTCTCCATCCCATAGAATGGCTTCAGACTGTCAGCTGGTTGATATGAGTCACAAAACCACTAAGGTTTTTTTATGCAATCTGGTTAATATGAGGCATAAAACCACTAAGGTTTTTTATGCATTCTGGTTAATATGAGGCATAAAGCCACTAAGGTTAACTTTAGAGAAAATGAAATGGGCTACGATAAAGTAGACCGGACTCCGGCGGTAGCAGATTGTTGCATTCCAACGTATACGGCACTGGTAAACCACTAGGGGGCACAGTCGGGACAGTCTGAAACCATTCTATGGGACTGATAACCACTAATAATGTCCATTTAATGGACTGATAACATCCGAACCGGCTGACCTACGGAAGCYTAGAGCTGTCACATGAATGAAATTATTTTTAAACTTGATCTTGTTATAATGAGAAAACTCTTGTAAAAATGAGAAAATATGTCATTATAACGACAAAAATATGTCGTTATAATGAGAAAACTATCTTGTAAAAATGAGAAAACTATCTTTTTGTATCAAGTTAACCATCTCATTATAACGTGTTATGGTTTCTTCTGGTTTGTCACTTTCACTGAAGTTTWCTGCCTGGATGGCGTGATGGAGAACACGACTATATAAACAAAAACAAAAAGAACGCATATTATTTAGGTTTGTGCTCAGACGTTGCAGCTAGTAGCACTTCTTTAGCAATACGCACTCTCTAATCTGAATTCAGACACTATTATTTCAAAAACATTATTCAGTACGTACTGAATAATGATTTTGAAATAATAGTGTCTGAATTCAGATTATTCAGTACTAACTGACTTTGTCATTTTTTAGTCTAGAAATGTGTTCCTCTTGCAGATTTCTTCTTCGTAAAAAGGCATATAGTGGCTCAGTCATGTTCTCCATCACGCCATCCAGGCAATAAACTTCCGTGAAAGTGACAAACCAGAAGAAACCATAACACATTATAACGAGGTGGTTATCTTGATATAACAAGATAGTTTTCTTGTTTTTACGAGATAGTTTTCTCGTTATAACGAGATCCAGTTTAAAAATAATTTCATGTCATGTGACAGCTCTACTCTTCTGTGCAAACCAGACACAGCATTTCAGAAACTAAACCGAGAGACAAAAAACATAATCACTAAACCAAGAGACAAAAAAAACAAACAAAAAAAAAACACATTAATTAAATGGCTAATGCAACAATAACAGGAAACATTTCAGAAAAATAAAGTACCAATTTTGGAGGAATACAAAATTCCAGACTACGGTACTTAGGTGTTTTGTTTTCTCTGTCATGTTTTGTTTTATTCCATTTTTACCTGAATACCTAATGGCAGAAGTGACACAGCATTAAGACTGAAGACCATTTCATAAGGTGGTTGTAATGTTATGGCAGATCAGAGTGTCTTTAGTTCAGTCCCTCTTTAAACTGTGCAAAAGATGCTAAAGTTAAAATACTGGCGTGTGACTGAGAAGCAAACAAAAACAGAGCCTGGTGTGAGTGCAATAAACGCCCTGAAGTGGCTAATGGTCACAATAACACCCAGTAATTAATCACCTCTTTAGTTTTACTGTGTCCATCAGCAGCACAGCTCACCTTCACATGGCYYTGTGCTCTCCATGCTCCAGTGCTTTTTGTGATTTGTCTCTTTGAAGGTGAGCGCAGCATCCACCCTGAAGAACAGCTGCAGGACACATGTTGTCTGCACGGCACTGTAAGGAAAATAAAACCCATTTTAGATGCTCCAAGGTCCATCAGAGGAGAAATATTCTTAGAGGTAAAAAGAAACTCATCTGGTTAGGCTTATCTGGGGACAATTRGAAGAAGATTTGACCCAACAAATTTAAAGTTGATTTAGATAATTAAATTTAAATAAAACTTTTTTACACAAACCAAAACACAGGATTAGGAATGTAACCTTTGGGCCTGCAAACAGCAAAGCATTAAAACTGACACAACTCTCTAAAAATGTCTACAGAGCCCAGGGGAAATTTTCTCATTACTTAGATAATGAAGGACATAAAGCAAACAGTTCATGTGAGGAAACCCACCACATCACAGAAACTCTTGTGAACAGAAAAATAAACTAAAATTTCTCCACGAAGAGTAACCATCATAAGAAATATTCAGCTGCAGTTATGCTTTATAAAAATGTTTTACTTGATACTGGTGATTAATAACAGGTAAAATGTTTTATAGTTTTTTTTAATTCATTTATTTACATTTCAAGTAATATATTTGTTTTTTTGGCTCATAAAGAAAATTTAATATTCAAACACCACTATTATAAGGTGTTTAGAAAATATATTCACATCAACTTATTTTACCTTTGAAATGTGCAAACGGAGACTTTTTGTATAAGTTTCACCGTTTTAAGTAATAATTTGATCAACATTTTCTTTAACAGTTTTGTATTCATGGCTTCAGTCCTCCTCAGCACCTTTTTGTTTGAGCTTTTCAAAGTAAAATGTTAGCATTTAAAGGGTAAAACGTGAAATCTAAACTTTACTCACCGAAAATTGTTAGACTCAACAGCGCTAACACAACAAACTGATGAAAGTGTAATTCAAGTTGAACGTGTTTCTGATATGTTTGACTTTCTAAAGACAACCTATTAAGTCAAATGATCGCTGTTTGAATTTCTGACCTCCCTACAAAATATTAAAAAGTGCGCCCTTCCGTTTCGATGATGTCATCTTTGCAAGGTGAGCGAGAGTTCCGCCGCCATTTTCTTAGCTAGCATGAGGTTGTCGAGATTAGCTTGTTTAGCTCTGGAAATGTCGTGCTCAAATTTCGCCTAGCGCGGTAGATTTTCAATGCTTTCAGCTGTATTCTTTTGTCTGGCACACACTCGTAGACCAGAGAAGGACGCGTGTGTTCGCTGARGGTAAACACAACGCGAAGTTAATTTTATATGCTCATTCATTTTTTTCCGAACTGTCTCAAGTTTGCTAGCTCGTTTAGCTAGCTGGCTAACTTGCTTACGTTTTATGGTTGAGAAAACATTTCACTTTCATGGCTGTTGGTTCTTAAGTAGTACAGTTGTGGAGTGAGTGTTTGGCGCTGTTTTATCTGCTTTTGATTTTCCTTTTTGTTTTCCTCTCGGAAGTAAATTTGAGTCAGATTAGGAATAATAATAATTAAAAAAAACAACAACTCGGTGTGTGTTTACTAAGAACTTGAGCTCCATCACCTGATTCCACTTGGACCAGCTCTCAACACCATGTCGGAGCTGTACATTCGGGTGGCTGAGGATGAAAGTGAGGAGCCCATGGAGATCCCCTCAGAAGACGATGGGACGGTTTTGTTATCATCGGTGGCAGCTCAGTTCCCAGGGGCTTGTGGTCTGCGGTACAGAAACCCAGAGTCCCAGTGCATGAGGGGGGTTCGGCTTGTGGAGGGAGTCCTGCACGCGCCTGAGAGCAACTGGGGGAACCTGGTTTATGTCGTCAATTACCCCAAAGGTGAGATGAACGTCTTCCAGTAACTTCTAAGCACATTAACTCCCTGTGTAAATTTATCTAGCCAACAATAAACATGTATGACAAGACTAATATTTAATTAGGGTTGAATGTGTGTGAGCAAAGTCAGTTTGCAATTTTAAAGTTTAAATAACTCTGAGAACTTTTTGCTCTTAAGGCTTTAATGACCAACAAAGGGAAATTCGTGCACCATATGAATATCTTAATCCTGTGTTTTTGAAGTAAAAATGGTAGCTAAGAGGACGTAAAACCAGGGGTTCTCCCTTACAAGTGTGAAAAKTTTCCAGGGACCCCCTCATAAAACCAGTGCTGTTGTAGAAATATTTTACTATCATGCTTACTTACATTTTAACCCCTAAATACTATAGGAATATAATTTTTTCGCTCCGTTTAGTGTGTTTGTTTTACTAGTGCATTGTTCCCCATATACATTTTTTTAAAATAAAATCCAAATTAAAGATTGTAAATTTTTTGAGGACCCCAAGATAGTGCTCGTGGACCCCTGAGGGTCCTGGGACCCTCGTTTTAGAACCTCTGCCATAAACAGTATTCATCCATCCATCCATTTTCTGTACACGCTTCTTCCTTTTTTCAGGGTTGCTGTTCAGTGCAATTGTTGCTGTATCTGGAAATGTAACTTAAATCTCTGTTATGCACACAGGGTTTTTTTATTTTTATTTTTGTCAAGCGTTTATCTCAGACAGAATGACAGTGAGCATGTGTTTTGTTCCAATGTCTACCTGAAAGTTGTCACTGAAAGATTTAAAAACAGTGTTTGTGACAGTATGGAGGCCTGACATGACTGAAAGTTTGATCTTTGGAAAGACCGGTGCGTTTAAGAGTGTCTGGACGTGTTTTTTAAACTATTTATACTTCACAGATAACAAAAGGAAGATGGAAGAAATAGACGCTGCCTCAGCTGTGAAAGTTAAAAGAGGCTTTCAGAAGACATCAGATCTAATTGTGCTCGGATTGCCTTGGAAAACAACAGAACAAGACCTGAAAGATTATTTCAGTACCTTTGGGGAGGTCATCATGGTGCAGGTAGATACGCGTGTTTCATTTTATTTTGGATGTTTCTCGGTCTTTGATTAGCTTGTCATTTGACTGCAGCGTAAATGTGCTGCGTGTTCTCTGTGTCCAGGTGAAAAGAGATGCAAAAACTGGCAACTCGAAAGGTTTTGGGTTTGTCCGGTTTGCAGACTACGAGACACAAACTAAAGTCATCGCTCAGAGACACATGATTGATGGACGGTGGTGTGATTGTAAACTTCCAAATTCAAAGGTTTGCTGAACACWGTTTACTCACACAACTGTTAATAATTCTTTTTTTTTTTACTTTTATTGACTGATAATCATGATTTAAAAGTTTTTGTATCGTAATGAATTGCATAGAGGGGTACAAGTTACAAAAGCTGTTTTAAATGCAATTTGTTAAGCAGCTAGATTAATCTTATTTTGAATATGTCTGGGCCTCTGTGTCCTCTTGTCCTCTCAGGCATGTCCTGATGAGCCCATGCGGAGCCGTAAAATCTTTGTTGGCCGCTGCACAGAAGACATGACAACTGATGATTTGAGGCAGTACTTCATGCAGTACGGTGAAGTCACTGATGTCTTCATTCCTAAACCTTTCCGGGCATTTGCYTTTGTCACATTTGCTGATGATCAGGTAAAAAAATGGCCACACTGGGTTAAAACAACATCAAATAGCGTTTGTTTAAGATAAGTGTTACAATAAAAGTTACCAAAGACTGTCACTTCTCTCTCTCTCAGGTTGCCCAGGCCCTGTGTGGTGAGGACTTGATCGTCAAGGGGGTCAGCGTGCACATCTCCAATGCTGAGCCCAAACACAATAATAGTAGGCAAATGATGGATCGAGGGCGGTTCGGGGCTGGTGGGTTCAGTCAGGGTTATGGTAGTAATCGRAGTGGGCTTGGCAGTGGTAGCGGCGGGGTTAATTTTGGGGCTTTGGGTCTTAACCCGGCCATGGTGGCCGCTGCCCAGGCAGCTTTGCAGGGCAGTTGGGGAATGATGGGCATGCTGGCTAACCAGCAGGGTCTGAACACAACAGCAGGCACAGCCTCAACAACCAGAGATCAGACGTACAGCTCTGCCAGCACCAGTTACAGCAGCCCCAGCTCAGCTAGCCTTGGCTGGGCTGCAGGCACTAATGCTGCTTCCAACAGCGGCTTCAGCTCTGGCTTTGGCACGTCTATGGAGTCTAAATCCTCTAGTTGGGGAATGTAGATAGCTAGAAATTGACCTTTTCTGTCGCTGTTAGGCTAATTTGGTAAGTATGCTTATATGGAGGAATGGCTTGTATCTTATTTAAAAAAATACACTGCCTTTTATTTTATTAAAGCTGAAATTTCTACTGGTGTGACTGATGATGTCATGCATTGAATGCATGAAAAGTTTAGTGTTTGGAATCTTCACACTTAGTTTTGTTTTTGAGCTTAAGTTACAAACATGACTGCATGCATAATTATTTATAAACATGCACGAACGAGTATCTGGAGATCCTCCCCCCACAGTCAGTTATATGGGCAGTATATAGTTATCTATATGTTTATGATTTTGGTTGCATTTTTTTTGTTTATCTTTTGTAAACGCCTTCATAAAAGTTTCTTCTGCAGTTCATCAACTCTTTCACAATTTCCCGGGAGGACTCGCGTCATTGGCAGCAATGTTGGGCAGATCTCAGTATCAGTTCCCCTCCTCCCATGTGTAAATGCATTATCATCCGAGAACAAAGCTTCACTGCATAAACTGTTAGACGGTGGGTGTTTTTGTTTTGTTTTGTTTGTTTTTTGTTCCTAATTTTGTGGGGGGGTATAGAAATCTTGTCTGCTCCTGTCGCTTTTTCAGCTCAGTGAGTGGTTTTGGTGTTGGACCGAGTGAGAGTGAGCGAACGGGAGGGCTAAATGAAAGACAGCACGTGTGAGAAGAACTGTTTGTGCATTTTTTTTAAGACAAATGCCTGGGAGAGTTGAGTAGGACCTGTGGCTTTGTGCGAGTGTGAGAGGAAGAAGCACGTACGAGTGTGTTCCCAGTGACCATCACAAGGACATTTCTTGCATCTCGAGATCCCCAAGTTCTCTGCTTTTTTTCCTCATAATTTTCTATCAACCTTAATTCTTTAAGAACCACAGCTAAATGTCAAGTGCTCTGACTATTTGTACCCTTTACTGTCTGATTTGACGTGAATGCTGTCTGCTTGTGTTCCTCATTTTCTCCTTGTTACCACCCTCTCTGTGTGAAAATGTGACTTTGTGTTAGTGAAGTCTGTGTGGAGGGAAAACACTTTAACGTATCGGAGTTTGAAAGACGATGTGGTGAATGCTTGAAAAGTTCCCATCGGAAGTTTGTGTTTGAAGTGGACATGAATGCATTTTCTATGTTTTGTGAATCAAAGGGAAGTCTGAAATAAAACGTTATTTGACTAGTTATAATACCCTCTTAACAGTGGCTTGTTTTTGACTTCACATTAATTGAATTGCCAACACTTTAATTCACATGTATAGGACCGTGGAACATGGAACGCCCTGTTTCCCATCAGAACCCCGGTTGGAGTCAAAACAAGAAAGATGAAGCTGTTTTTTCTTTCCCCCGTGAGCCGTCCCAAACCACAATGGAGTTCCTGCACCACGGCCTTAAWCCTGAAATGGATCTTCGCCACCTCACAAGCAAGAAAACCCTGAACCACTTCATTTAGAGTGGCTCATCATACTCACTTAAAAAAAAAAACCTACCTACAAAATCTGGACCAAAGTCGCATCTACTTGCTAGCAGTTATAATTTTGTCCTTCCAAATCTGTCACAAAGCCTGTCTTTTTTTTTAAGCTGCTATATTTGTCAGTAAGTTTTATTTGACCTCCTAACAGCCTCTGACTGACAAAAGTTGTATCGGTTTGGCAGGAAGTGTGAGCCTTTTGCTTACCATTTTATTGTTTAAAAAAATTAGTTGGTTTAAAAGAATTCAAAGAAACTGAATATCCATGCCAATGAGAAATCACACTGTGTGTTAAACTATTAGTCTCATTGTAAAATAAATTTTTTTCTTCATTATTTTCAGTCTCTGGATGTTGATGAACATGGTGTTTTCTGTGTTAAGAATTTTATATGCTGTGTTTTTGTCTTTCCATGCCCTTCAGTAAACTTCAGAGTTCAGATTTTGTCAGTAGTCCTGTAATTCTCTGCTTTCTACTATGTAGTATTTATCAGACTTTTTATTTATTTATTTATTTATTTATGGTAATATGACCTGTGTGTAGCTCTAGAGTTCTGCCTGCAGGTGGTGCTGTTGTGCCATTTTATTTTACCTTTTTTTTTTTTTAAAACTTGGTAGTCTCCAAATCTCCCTCCCACCTCAAGGAATTTAGAGATATCTGAATTTCTTAAACATTTAAGTCCAAGTTAAAGTTTCATATTTCCTGATTGGGTCAAGAGGAAGGGAAACTGCAGTTTGAAAATTTGTAATATTTAGACAAACATACAAAGATAATGTGAAGACAAGAATATTATCTGAATGATCAAAAATGACTGTTGCAATATGAGTTATAAATCATCAATTATATAGACAAATTAATGCCGTTCACCCTCAAACCTAGAGTTGTGTAATTCTTGTTGGCTTTTGAAGGGCACATTTAGTTTCTTAGATTGTGTTTGCCATCTTCTGAAGTACTGACCTATCCAAGTAATGTGGCTCTGGACCTTTTAGTTCAAGGAAAACTTGTTCATGTTTGTTAAGTCATCCTAGAAGGCGACCTGTGATGGTCAAAGGTTCATTATTGCTAGTGATTGTTTATTTTAAGTTTGTGTGCTGGAGATGCAGACAAGCTGCAAACAGGCGAACAATCAAAATAGTTAAGAACATTTTGCATTATTCATAGAGGAACATGTTAAAGATTAATCACCGGATTAAATTACATTTTTCCTAATTGTGCAAAAAGAACCTGATAGGGTTTTTGTTGGTTAAAGTTCCATGAGTCAAACATGAAGGTCTTTGTTGAAAACAACTCTTGCGTCAGAACAACGGGCAACAAACTTATCAYTGTCTGGAGGCCTTGTGTGTGACTCACTTGACAGAAATATTGCCTCTTTTCTCATTTATAATTTTCATTTGCACAGCGAGACTGTTCACTTTTAACAGGGTTTGTGTTTTGTTTTGAAGCAAGCAGGACTGACATTTGTGATGTGAAGAACCAGCTGTAGAAAACAGGAAGCTAAAGGGGAGATTTTAAATTTGTTAGGCAACAAACAGTAGACAAAAAGAGGAAATAAGAGGAGGGAAGGGGTTTATTTTTGCGCAGTCTCACCTGGAGTTTTTTTCTTTTCAATTCAAAAGGCATTCAAAGCCCATTAATAAGCAACATATGCACTGATGAGGCCTGACCTCTGCTCATTACATTTCAACAAAATGTTCTTAAGAGACAATCTGACATTAGTTCATAGAAGCTGTTTGCCACCTAACAACTGTAGAGCTCTGCAGCGACTTAAAGGGTTTTAGTTGTTRGTCAGAGCATGACAAGGAAACTGCTGTGTTCCCTATGAACGTATTTTAAAATTAAACCTCAAAATACTGTGCTAGTAGAACTACTATTACAAAAAATATAACATTTGAAAAGTTACCAGTTAAACAAGACGTCCTAAGAAATTATGTATAATTTAATTACATGTATAAATCCTCCTGCTGGACATCTGATATTACACACATCTCCCGTTATAAAAGCATCCTGTTATTTATCACTCTATATATTGACTGGCTCCCGTATTGTTACGCTTTACCATTGAAGCTACTTAGAAAGGGATTGAAATCTTTATTTAGCCTGTTACGGCACAGGGCAGTGGTTCATCTTGAGTTTACACTGAGAACCCACCCCACCCCCCACCCAACAAGACATGTAAACATGAGCCTGATTTCCACATCCTCTCACGTCTGTTGCTACATCAGAACAGACAAGAATAGGGAGAGTTTAATTTCTGGTCCCGTTTCCTTATAAAAAAAAAAAAAAACTACAACACATCTCGGAGCAAGAAACGGCTGGAAGAAGCTAGGTGTTGGGCTGGGTGGTGGTGTTCTGCTGGTAACAACCTCCTGTTCTTCATTTTTAATTTTTATTAAATGCTGTAAGAATCGTCTTTAAGCGTTGTAGGAAGAAGACGAGACGTTTCCACCYTGGCCTGTCCAGTTAGTGTGGATGTAATGACCGGGATTCGATAGCAGCTCGTACGTGTGCGCTCCGAAATAGTCCCTTTGGGCCTTAAAAGAACAAAATCACAACATCACAACAAGGCAAGACCCATTTCTCTTTGAATTAAGAGAAATTAGAAATATCATCTACAACACGTTTGTATTTATATTACTGTTCATATTGGCTAAGAGGGAGCAATAAAGGCTGATTCTGTAGAATTTGTAAAAACAATTAACGTAATAATATTWATGAAAATACTATTAATATATTAGTGTATATAAGGTATATAATGTATATAAAAATGTCAGAAACCTGTGCGAGTGAGAGAAACACAAGTAAGCAGATGCTCTTATTTACCTGAATGTGGATTTGATCTGACCAGAACTGAAGCTGATAATGTAACAGTTTAAAATTCAAATAAGCCCATAAAGCTGATGTCATCACTGTTAATTATTGCATTGGCTAGTAGAGATTAGCTTCTGTAGCATATATTGCTAAACAGAGTAGCACTCTGCTGAATCATGCTACAATTTAGCACAAAATATTAAATATCACAAGCTGGTTTTGCCTCTAATTAATGTAATATTTACACAGTGTAAAATGATATTACATGTTTTGCTATTTTAAGTTTCTGTTAGACTTGACCTGTTGAGATGATGGTTAGCCAATACCAATAGACAAATTTCATCCTTTAAAATACAGCGTACACAGTGGAGTTTCTATTTGTCAGCTGGTAAATTRTTAGTATTCTTCTTTATGACTGAGAAGAAATAATAAAAACACTTTATCATTACCGTAGTTGAATTTATAATTATTCAACTAGCTGAAAAGTCCAAGTTAATATTTTCCTTATATTGTTGGCTAAGAGGGAGCAATAAAGGCTGATTCTGTAGAATTTGTAAAAACAATTAACGTAATAATATTTATGGAGTTTCTATTTGTCAGCTGGTAAATTTTTAGTATTCTTCTTTATGACTGAGAAGAAATAATAAAAACACTTTATTATTACCGTAGTTGAATTTATAATTATTCAACTAGCTGAAAAGTCCAAGTTAATATTTTCCTTATATTGTCTGCTGTTTTATGTGATGGTTGATTTTCAATTATATTAATTTATTGTACCAAAAAAAACACTGACACAGATCTAGTTGGGCTTGCTGGTAATAAAATAGTTGCTATGAGGGTAGTGAGCTGACTGTGTATTTTTTGCTCCTCCATGCGGTCACAGAAGTTAACTGTACGGTATAGGTGGGGCTCACTCTAGAGTTATTTAACTCTTTGTGTTTCACCCTTTCACCACGGTCACTTCTGCAGCAGCAGCAGCTGTTCCTCACCTGCAGCAGGTTGGCCGGCAGCATCTCGTGCCTGTAACCATCGTAGAAGGACAGAGCTGTGGAGAAGCAGGGCATGGGGATGCCATGCTGGACTCCAACCCCAATTGTTCTGCGCCACGACTCCTAAAGCAAGAGAGCAAACACTGCTGTCAGTTTACAGACGGAGTCGAAATGGGCTCAAAATTCTACAAAAAAAATGCAGTTAGGCTTCAGCCCCATTTACTTTTTTTATTAAACAGATTTGGATTACCTTAAATTTTCAGAAACTCTGGATTAGGAAAAATTTAAACTATTTTATGTCGTTAGCAACACTGTAAATCATCAGACCTTGGTTTGATAAATCAGTCAACAATAAGGTTAACGAGTCAAAGTATTGCTTCACTCCTTTTGGTTTGAAAAAAAAAAAGGGGGAAATAAGTTGTTTACATTCTTTGTCAATGTTTCTGTTGTAAGCTTGTATCTGACCACTTCCTCCTTCCTCATACCTGGCAGTCTTGCACAGCTTTACTGAAGAAACTGTCCAGCAGCAAGTTCTGCAGGTCCGAGTTCCTGTCGAACGCCTCCTTGATTTTACCCAAGAAAACACTGGAGAGGAGAGAGAACAATGAGAGCAAAAAGATGCAACAGAGGGGAAAAAAAGTTAAAATGTATTTGTTTGAAAGTATTCATAGCAAAGCCTTTAAAGACACACTTCAACCAGTTAACTCATGGCAGCATACTGCAAGTCTTGTTCAGTGTTTTATTTGATTTAGATTTAAGCAACGTTTTTAAATCAGATTACAGAAAGCAAATCAGTGTCGCAATCATGATGTCCTCATTTCTCTCTCATTTTGAGAGTTTGCATTTCCTTTAATGTAAATTCATCTTTCCAAACTCCAACATTACAACAGATTACAACCAAACCTCAATGGCACAACATTAGTTTCCACTTCTCAGCTTTAAGAGGAAACAAACTGAACTAATGTGACTAAAGTCCCAAGCTTTCTATAAAGAACGTAAACAAAACTTATCACTTTACTCTTTTTGCTTTTTTTCAAAAAGTAATCTCATCTACTACCCACAATACATGCTAATGAATTTTGTACAACACAAACTGAAGTAAACTTGTATTGTTATTATTATTATTTTTTTAAACAGAACCCGATGGTTTAAATTATACCTCCGGATGATGCAGCCTCCTCTCCACATCAGTGCGATCGCGCCATAGTTGAGTGACCAGTCAAACTCTTTGGCTGCTTGTCGCAACAGCATGAAGCCCTGAGCGTAGGAAATGATCTTGGAGGCATAAAGAGCCTGAAAAAAGATAAATTAGTGCCATCATGTGTAGTATAATGGAATGGAGCACTATAATAAAGTACTGAGTGGCCAATAATCTAAATTTGCTACTAATAAATATGGACACACACACACACAGGTTTGTTTTTATATCCCCATGTGGACCGTGGATTGATTTCCATTCATTTTCTGGTCATTTTATAGCCTAACCCTGACTATTTACCCTAAAATTAACCTCACAGGTACCCGAGGTAACTAACCTAAACTCAATTCACACCGTGGTCCTAAACCAACCCCCCACTCCCGTAATTAGGATTATACCCGTAGGGACCAGGCATTGGTCCCCACAATGCACYTTCTGTCCCCAAGTGGCTGCCTTTTTCTGGAAAATGGTTCCCACCATGTAGCAAAAACAAGTTCAGCTGGTGTGCTCACTGAGTGAGTGGATTTCTGACTGAAATACATTATTTTATGCCTTCATTTATTAGTTTGATACAGGCTGGATTTATGGTAATGTGTGTTTAAAGATATAACTTTGAGAGTAAAATTTCTTGACTCGCCTACAGTACCTCCATTGTGACCCCATAGTTGAAGACCTCTGCTCTATAATCATCTTTATAAATAAAAAAAATGGATTCACATTGCCATCGTTTTTCAAAGTCAGCAGCCAAGTTCAGCTTTCTACAGCTGCCTGGATTTCCAAAACATCCAATTCCAAGATCATTTCATTTTCCCCGTAGTGGCTGTGATGATAAACAGCACTGTGAGTTCTACCTTTCTAATGTCTTCCAGGAATGCAGCCTTGTTGCCGCTGAATTTGACCCCCTGTGGGCCTGAGAGGCTGCGGCTGGCCTGCACCCTCTCATCCTTCAGAGACGACAGGCACCTGGCAAAGACAGCCTCCCCTGTGACACAAAAAGGAGGGAGGACAGAGAAAACAAATAATTACAGATTAACCGTTTGCATATGACTGTTTCTTGCCATGTTTTTGGCAGCCGTGTCACTACCGTGTGGAGGAAAATAAACCATAAGCTTGCCAAGTGCCTCATTAAAAATGATCAAATCTTTCCTCTCGAAGAAAAAAAAAAAGAAACACCTGTTCAGTCAGCATGACTTGCAAAAAACTGCCCAGTGAAATGATGCAACTGTCCATGTGGAGAGTGTTCTCTCGTTTTAGTCTGTAATGCACCCATGCATACTGCTCCACACTGGATCAGTTCTCACACAATAAAGGGTTTTGTACAAAGAGGATCTGCAGCCCTGACAGTAAACAACCTAAAATAAATCTAATCTGAACAAAGCCTGAATGGATTTGGTGACAGGACAGTTTGTGCTTCAAACGATCAGCAACGAACTTTACATAAAAGCTGACCTTTATTTCGCTTTAATCACACACCCAAAAGGTGGGACTGCTTCACCTGGTTTCACAACTTCTATATGCTCTCATGTGTGTCTGTTAATAATAACAGTCATTCAGTCACAGGAAAAACAAAACATGAAAATCCCTTTTAATCCACCTGAGATGAGCAGACTAGAGGAGAAGCCTCCAATCATCTTACAGCTAGAAAATGGCAGCTTTGTTGTAACTAAAACCAACTTCTAATCAACATTGCTGATGTTGCAACATTTTCAGATGTGATGTAATGTCTGTTCGTGTTCAATGAGAACAGTTAAGGGAAAGCAACTGGCCCTGAAGGAGGAGATGAGGAAACAAAAGACACTTCCTCGTCCTTCTCTTACCGATCAAGGTGACAGGTGTGCCGTACTCCAGGGCTGAAATGGCCGTCCACTTCCCCGTGCCTTTCTGTCCAGCGCTGTCCCGAATTTTAGGCAGCAGGTGCGTGCCATCGGCGTCCCGGTATTTAAGGATGTTGGCTGTGATCTCAATCAGGAAGGAGTCCAGTTCTGTCTTGTTCCAGCTGTCGAAAGCCTGAGGAGGGGGAGATCAACATTCAGTACGGCACGTTTTAAAAACTGCGAGAACGATGCTGCGGCATCACGGCCACCTCACCTGCGCCATCTCGTCATGGTCCATCCCTAAAACGTCCTTCATTAGGTGGTAGGCCTCACAGATCAGCTGCATGTCTCCGTACTCGATGCCGTTGTGGACCATTTTCACAAAGTGACCTGCGCCTTCATCCCCAACCTGCCAGAGTGACACAGATATTACAGCCACTGTGTGTCCTTAATGAGTTTTAGTACAAATCTATGATTTAAAAAGAAACGGGGAGAAAAAAAAAAGATGTACCTACCCAGTCACAACACGCCTCTCCTGTTCCAACCTTGGCAGCGATGCTTTGGAAAATTTCTTTTATGTGTGGCCTTAAAAATGAAAACAAAGTGTTAATATCTAAAGAATTAACACATTAAAATCAGCTAATTAACCTTTACTGCTATTTAGTCCTAAAAGGGCAAATAAATACCCAACATTTTTTTTTTAGTTTTTGACGACTCACCAAGCTTCCTTGTGTCCCCCCGGCATGAGTGAGGGTCCATAACGTGCGCCCTCCTCTCCACCACTCACTCCGCTCCCAACAAACAGAAAGCCCTTCTCTTTCAGACTCTTACACCTCCGCTGCGACACAAACACAAGACGAGCTGTCAAGCTGTGCTCCTAGAAATAAATATTTTCTGCCAAAGAGTGATTCTCAGCGACTTACTGTTGTGTCTCTATACTCTGAGTTGCCACCATCGATGATGATATCCCCTGCTTCTAGAAGAGGTACCTGATAAGAACAAGTTATTTAATGCGTTGACGTCATGTAGAGCTTAGAATTAGTGGTTTTGCTGCAGCTTGGTGCTAAACAACCAACCAGTTTATCAATGAAATCATCCACAGCCTGGCCGGCCTTGACCAACAGGACGATCCTCCTGGGCTTCTTCAGCTTGGACACCATGTCTTCCAGGGACTCGGCTCCGATCACCTTGGAGCCCTTCGCCTCGTTCTGCAGGAAGTCGTGCACCTTGGACACGGTTCGGTTGTAGGCGCAGACCTGTCGGGCAGAGATTGTTTTCAGATAAGGGAACAGTGGGCCTAGCGAGACGTGTAAACACACAGATGTGCAGATCTTACCACAAAGCCATGGTCGTTCATGTTCATGATGAGGTTCTGGCCCATAACAGCCAAACCAATCAGTGCAATATCTGCTCTGTGGAAACAAAGCATCACATTTACTGAAAGGCCACCAGCAGGTCGCAAAACACAAGACATAAGAAGATATTTTCATTGTAATTCTAAAAATGCAAACTTTATGAACCTATATGAATCTAGCTCACGTCATTTCCCAGAGTCCATAGCGACTGAAAGATCACTATCCATTCAGTTTTTAGGTTTAATATCGTATAATTCTGCTAAACTTAAAAGCTGAAGGTTATAATATGACAAYAATAAGAGAACAGAGTTAATCTAAACTAGCTTAATGATGTTGGTGTCAAATATCGTCCACAAATAAAAATATAAACCTTGACTATAAATAAACACATTCCTACTATCTAAAAGAGTAAAAACTCGTTAGAAAACTTACTTAGCCATCGTGCTGTCCGGGTAAATAAAGGATAAAGTGAGAAGTATTGAGACCAAGACCTTCCGTACGGATTTTCTCTCTTCGTCTTCCACTTCCTCGTTCCGAGTTTCTCTCCCGAACGTGCCTGAGCGATTTACGTCCACGCACGTACAGAATCCACCAATCAGACAGCGCCTAAAGAACAACCCACTCTGTTTAAATGTTTTTGATTGGTCTAGAGCCCTGAGCCGAGGTGTTATGCTTTCCATTGGTTGCTCCAGCAGCCAATCACATTGACCATGACTTTATTTATTTTATTTAATTTTATTTTTTTGTAAGACTAGCCTTGATTCCTGTATGACCAAGTAATTCCAGGTAAGGAAACATATTTTATCTCAGGAGTGTATTCGACCCAGTTGTATATGTAAATAAATTTTGAGAATTTAATATGAAAAAAAAATTTTTTTGAATAAAATTAATTTTACCATGTTTTTGTTGCAGATCAGCTGACACGATGAGACAGCTCCTCTTTCAGCTGATCTTGAGGTCATGTGTTGCAGATTTGGTGGTGTGATCAGCCTTGAGCCCCACATTTCAAACAACTATAAAAGATTTAATCCTTTAAGCACATCTTTTGAAGATGAACAGGTACAAATCAATGACAATTAACATGTAGTGCCATGGAGGTCTAAAACTAACTTTGACTGCATTTTGTTTTAACCAATATTACCTTAGTTAAAAAAAATAACTTTTTCCTAATTTCTAGAAATTGAAGGCCAATCACATGATAAATGTCTTCACTCTAAAGCAGATTAACACCACAACAGCATATTCTGCAGAGTTTCAGGGTGAAAAATCCAAGTTTGAAGAACTCCCTGCAGTTTTGGTCTTTTCAAATGTCATTTTCAGCGATTTACCTGGATTATGATTGCTTGATATTTTGGGGTTAGGTGTAAAGATTAAACTATTAAAAAAGTAAGGAATTAAAAGGCATGTTTTTTGCAAAATTCAAAAATGAAATGCATGCATTTAGCAGGGAACGYCTTCTCACCTAGCTTTTATCTATAGAATGTTTGAAACAGGAATATTTTATGTTTCTTCCACTAAAAATAAGTTTATATTTAGTTGGAAATGGGCCTCTCTCTCTCACACACAAACAGCAGTGAAGCGTCGGACAAAGGAGAGGACAAACAGGCAGCACTTGTTCTGCTAATGCACAGTTTGCACTTTTATTGTTGCCTCATTCACTAAACAGTTTCAGTGGTGCAAGATTACCATACACAGAATTAGGATATCTGCATGACACATCTACGCTATACAGCGAATGGATTATAATTATTACAAATACAGTAAACATATTTACATTTTAGTCGAAGCTCCATACAACACAGATATTTACACAGTAAGTATGAAAGTGAAACCAGGCTGGCAAATAATGTACAGCGTTAATGTTGTCCTTTATTCTTTCAATGAACAAATCCGAAGGGTGGAAAGTGGTGGCTGATATTTATTCTTAGAAGGGGAAAAATGGGAAATATCATGACTAGTTTTATTTAAAAGGCATCAATGAAAAAGAAATAAAGTGTTGAAGTGAGAAAAAAACACCAACACAATAAAGAAGTGATATCTTTATGTCTAATAGCTACTTTATGTTATTGTCCCTGATATTAGAAGAAATAAACTGATAAAAAACAACTTTTTGTGATACAGTCAAAAGCCCGGCCCACACGAGAAGAAAAAAAAAAAAAAGGCAGATTTTTAAATTACTTTCTGATAAAGAGGAAGCACTAATGTAACTCAGCTCCATCTGAAAAGGTGCAGCAGGTTACATCTTAGATCTCTTTTCCATTTTAAATCCAACAATGGTGGGGAAAAAACAAAAAACATCTTAAAATCGTACATTCATCTCTCTCAGTTCAAGCCAGAAGCGGCCGTCAAACCCTTCATTTGGTTCATTATGAGCAGAACAACTAAACGGCAGAGACTTCATTTGATCAGTTAGTTGAACTTTTTATTAGTATGTGCAAAGAGCTGCAAACTAATATATACAGTGCAAACAATAAATACACAACAGAAAATAATAGAACTCTGCAAATTAGCCACGGGTGTGAAAATGTTTGCTGTGACGTGCCGATGGAAATATCTCTTCTTATTGAGGTTCACAGAGGTCCCTTTTAACTCTTGATAAATGCATAGATGTGTGTGAATTTTCTKAGAAAGATGTTTCTGACCAGCAGGCTGGCTGACCTGAGGACAGTTTCTGGGTCGAATTTTTTCTGTTCTCATGTTAGAAATATTTCTTACAAACAAAACCAATTCGAGCGTCTCTGTTCTGATGACACAGTGAGCAAACTGCTGGTTGGTCGGCCAGAGTTGAACAAATGCCCACCTGTGCTCCAAAACAAAAAAACACGTCGCGACAGAGGAAGCAGCCAAATGGAGCAGCATCAGCATGATGTGCAGAGCAAACATTTCCACAAAATAAAAACCTCTCACTTCATCGTCCCTTTTATTCTCTCTACTAAARCTTCTGGAAAACACACACACAAAAAAAAAACTAAACCTGCTTATCTGTCCAGTGTAGCCTCGACATGTGCGTTCATCTTTGTTCCTGAAGCTTGGACATCATTCTGCGTGATCTGCCGTAAGACTTGCTATAGATATGAATTATTGTGCAAAATAAGGTGAAACACCAAGAGATGCTGGTTACAAATCAAGAAATAAATGCCCTCTGTTACACTTCATAAAATGAGAATTAAAAAAAAACACTGGAATAATTAAAAGCAAGAGAAAATGTAACAGAATATTAATAACAAAAAAGGAGTTAGAGTTAGACAAGGTTGCGATTCAGTAACAGAAAAAAAGAAGTAGTAACATGCGGTGCTGCCGAACCGTCAACACTTCGTTTTCGAGGTTTTACTCGTGAGACAGCGAGGGGAACYTTTCGTAATCTGTCCTTCAGGTCTCGCTGCTCCATTCGAGGCTAAAACACTCTTCTCACCATGTTAGGACTTCACTAGCACACATTTGTAACACGTTTCTGCTGCTCAGCTTGTTWGTGGAAGCTGAAGTAGCTAGGAGGAATGTCTTAAATGGGATTTAACCATCAAACTGATCCCAGAGCAGATTGTATTTAACACCATCTTCATCCAAACCCACTGTTTTTAACTTCAAGATGAAAATGCAATAAGACAAATATTTACTCTTAAACAAAGTGCAGCAAACCTTTTTTGTTTTTGTTTTTCCACTTCAAATATATAAAACTCATGACTTTTTGCTCGTTTTTGCCCAGTTAGATGCTTGATGTTTACACATATGCACTGACTTGACTGACACTGGCACTATCGTGGGCTGGAGGTGGTGTATGTACAGAGGCTGAGTGGTGGGATCTAAACGTCACGACTCGCTGACTTCAACGGGATTTGCTCGAATTACTGAGTTTTGAGACAATTCAGAGGCAGCAGCCTGATGCAAATCTTTTTAAAATTAAAAAAAAAAACTATGAATTTACTAGCAGCAATAATTCACATTGCAGAGCATTAACTAATACATCACAAGAAGATATTTGTAGATTTTTCCCTTCATAATTTTAACTATTAGTRGTTTGATTCGTTTTGTTTTCAGTGATATAATCTCCTGAGGAATGCTGCAGTTATCATGCGAGCACGTTATCAAAAATAAAAGGAAAAAAAAACGTGAATAAAACTCATTTTCGGGAGACAAATATAACACTGACAGACATATTTTTCTTTTTTTTTTTTTTTTTACAGATGACTGGCAAACAGAAAATTCATTTCTAAAGAGCCGTGCACACACAAGTAGACTACCACGACATGCTACTAAGTTAGGGGATTCAGGAGTGACGAGTAGGCTGAAAGAAATTAGACCCGAATAATAGAAACTCAAAAAGCTGAGGAGAGGAGGAGGAGAGCTGGCAGGAGGAGGAGGAGGAGGAGGAGGGGAGTGGGGGAGCTGCTGGAGGAAACGGGGAAGGCAAAATGTCTCTGGAACAGAAACGTTTAGTCGCATGAAAGGAGACTTAAGCCACAAGTCTACTTACAAGAGAAAACGGTCAAGAATCACGATAATTAATAAGTGTTAACACTTGGTTCTGTTCAAAGGCTGTTCAGAAAGAGCCGGAGCTGTAGGTTGGTGTGTGCGCTGCTCCTCTCAGTTCTTCAGCAGGCCGCTGCGCCTCCTCGCCAGCTTCGATCTGTCGGGGCGACACGTCACGGTGAGGTGGACGAGTCATTTCAGGTGGAGGAAAAGAGGTGTTTCATGTAAAGAGAACGTGCGTTGTACCTTATCGTTCCTGCGAGCAGAGGATTAAAAGCGTAAAGCCAGTCGTTCAGATCCTTCTCATTGTTGGCCTGCAGGAGGATCCCTCGATGTTTTGTGCACACAGCAAATGTGTTGGGAGTCTGCACAGAAAAAAAATGTAATATTTATAATGAAACAAGCCAGAGGGGGTTGTGTTTATGCCATTTTATTAGACTTTACAAAGCGTAAAAGGGTCAATAGATCTGTTGATGTTTTTTTGTTTTGCCTAAACTTGTTCTGGAGCCTCATGTTTTCAATTTCTTCAAACTTCTATGTACTGAAGTTGTGTCATTTAATCACACACAGGTAAGTGTCCACAGAAACATCAGAATCTTGGCTAAAAGCTCATAAAAACTATTTCTAGGTTCACCCAAACACAATTAAAACCACAATCAATTGAAACCTGTTTGACTTTTTGTTCGTTCTAAAAATGCAAGTCAAAGCAAATATCAAAATATGTCGTAAAGTGTTTTGAATTTTATTCATTTTTACTTGATTTTGAGTAAATCTGGAGTCAAACATGATCATTTCTCACTATTTAATGAATAGGTTGAAAAATTAATGTGTGGGCAAATAAAAAAAATATATTCAAAAACCTTTCAGGCACGCCAAGAAAAAAAAACTAAGTTTTGCAATTAAAATTTAAAATTTCTTAACTTTTATTGTCAGAACCAAAATCATCCTGTCTGTGGAGAATGACAAATTGCTGAGTTAGTTCTTTACTAAAATCTCTGTAACTTTGWCCTAGTTTAAAATTTAGCAGCATGGGTCTTTGCACGGGTAATGTCCACATGTGGATTTATGATTTCCAAGAGTTTTTAGCCTGATTCATTATATTATATGTATATTCCATCCTGACCATCCCTGAAACTATAAACGAGGATATAAATTGTTGTCGATGTTTAGTTAAAAGGTGTAAAAACATCACAATGAGCTGATAATTCCCACCACATTCAAACCGCTACCTTGAGCATGGCCTGCTGGTCTTCACTGTATTCCACCTGAGCTGTGGACAGGTTGAGGACGCCTCGCTCCACCGGGTCCTTGTCACTGTTGTAGATGAATACATATGGCCGGCGAACAACCACAAAGTGCTTCACCCACGAGTTGGAGCGCGGCTCCATGAAGCTCAGGAAACCTTTCTTGGAGACAACAGACCTAAAAGCAAAGGAAGCAAAAATATTTTTTTATACCACACTTCTGTATCAAAAAACAGAAAAGTAAACTCAGAGCTGATTACAAACCCCGGCCTCATCTCTTCTATATCAGGTACCAAATTTAAGAACTCGTTCTTTCCAGCTCGTGCAAGGTAGGACGTCTCCAGAGTWGGAACCAGGGGGAAGTTCTCATAATCTGAGCCGGAGGGGCTGGAGGCACGAGAGCTGTTCTCTGGGGTCCTGAAGAGACAAAGCTTTGCGTTAGCTTTCAGGAGACAAATGACCAAGAAGCTCTGAAGTATGCTCAACAAAAAAATACGATGATGGAAGAAATGAAAAATGTACTTCTGGTCTAAGGAGCCACAGCGGGAGTCAGACAGAGAGGGGCAGGTGGACGAGGGGGTGAGGGTGGRGCTGCTGAAGCTGGTCACTGATGGGTCCCGTCCCATAGGTGAGATGTCTGACAGCTGGAGAAAAAAATTTTTTTAAAGTAATTTGTGAGATTAAACTTCTTTTATTGTTTATTAGTATAAACTGCATCTGAACTCTCTCTAACCTTGCAGTCACTGATGCTGTTCACCACCTGGTTGTATTCGTTGTTGAAGGTGTGTGTCAGGAGGCGCAGGCACTGCAAAATAAATAAAAATAAAACTGTTGAGTTCACAGCAGGAGACAAGAATGCACTTTCAGTTTAGCGTCACGCAGCTCCTCCCTCCCACCTTCGTGGCCAGCTCCTTCTCGCGATCCACCAGGCTCTCYATGTCTGCCGAGTCGTAGCCGCTGCTCTCGCTGGGCGTGATGGCGCTTTCGCAGGTGGTGCTGGAGATCTGGGAGGAGATGGAGGTGGAGGTGGACAGAGTCCCCGAGCTCAGGCTGGGAGACAGAGACTCGCTCAGGGACTTGGTGGTCGTTTCCACTGGAGCCGTCTCCCCCAGCTTCTCCCTCAACAGGAGGAGGTGACGGGTTTTCTCCACCTGTGAACGACAGGAGTTTGGTGCAAGTTGTGGCTGTTAGACTCCTTGTTTTTTTTAAATCGGCGGGGAATGCAGCAGGAKGAAATCAGGAAAATCGAGGTCCCTCCCACCTCCTGCAGCTGCTCCATCTTCTCCAGCTCCCATTGGTGCTCCGAGATCAGGCTGTCTCCTCTGGGCCTCCACCCTGCCAGGTTCTCCTCTCCGCGCACATAAGCCACTGATGTATCCAGAACCTTCCTCCTCCTCCTCTGCATCCCTGTTCAGAAAAAAAAAAAGTTTAATTAAAACAATTTACTCAGGAATTACAAAAACAGTCTTCAAACYATCATCTTCAATTGCTTCACCTGGGCTTCCACTGTCAGACATCTTACACAAGCTCAGCTCGTAGATGCCGGTCACTCGGTTGCTGTTGCAAAGAGAAATAAAAAGTTTAGATGAAAATGTTAGAAAACAAGGGCAGATGTGCTGTTTTATATTGTAACAGTAAAAGCCAGAGTGCAGCAGCCTGWGGACTCACCAATCAGGAGTTTTGGAGTACCCGCTTCCAAAGAGGTTCCTGAGAGAACGGGGAGGGGAGATCTTAGCATCTCGTGAGTAGAAGACCATACAGATGTCTTTGGTGATAATGGCAGGCTGGATGCAATGGTCCAGCTGTGAAAAGGAGACACAGGAAGTGAGCTGACATCTAGAAAAAGGTCAAATGCAAATGGGTAAAAAAAAAAGGTGGCAGACCTCCAGATATGCAGACAGGGTCATGAAGATCTTCTCTCCATAAGGAGTGACTCGGTTTAGCAGGAGTGAGTTGTGCAGGGAGCTGTCCCACACGGCTTCAAAGCGATAAAAAGTTCTGAAGAGGGAAACCAGAGAGATAGGAACCATTTGGCTTAATGGTTACAGGTTTGCTTTACAAGTACTAGAGTTTGGAGGTGAGCAGGATGGAATTTTGTGAAAAGGTTTTGAGAGTGGGTCTTTCTGTTGATTAAGTTTTRGGACAGATCAGACAGAGAGAGCTTTGCAGTGTCTAAACTGGCTCTCACTTTTATCACTGTCATGATAAAAATGTGAGGAAACACTAAGGTGAGACCTTGACACAAAGTGTAGTGAATTACTGGATTAATAGTGAAATTAATTAATCATTAAATCAATAAAAAAATGATAAACAATGATTAATAACCCAGTACTAAGAAAGAACATTAAAATACATTTCAACTCTTTTTTTTTCTTCACAGGGTTAATCTTCTGGAATAAAGAGACATGCAAAGATTAATTCAATAAACTTTGAGTAATGATATATTGATCATAACCTCTAATAGAAGATTAAATGAGATAACATATATAGAATATATTGTTGTATTCACTTAAAGAAAATAAAAACACTTTAAAATGATTTTCTTCTTATAAGTGTAAAAAATAAAATCAAAGACAAAAAATAGAAATGAATATTTCACCAGGGTTACCCCTACACAAAGACAACAGATTTTCAGTGCCTTCAGGCAAAAAACAAATTAAAAAAGTAATAAAAATAAATAAATAAAAATCGTACATTTTAAATTCCTGATTACAAATAATGTGCTTAATATCAAAGTAAAAAATATGTTTTAAATAAAGAAAACTTGGTTACAGTGTTCCTATTTCTGGCAGCAGGGGGTGCTGTTGCCCACAAGTCGGCCCTGCTGATGGCCTTGGTGGTTTGAATGAAAAACAACCCAGAAGAAAACATTCATTTTGAGCCACAGAAAWTTCACACATCACTATGGTCACAAACATACATAAGAAATCTATGAGGGAACCTGCATTTGCATTTAAGATAGCCTTTTCTTGTCAATTACCGTAACATTTAAAATGGGATGTTTAGAGGCCAGATTTCAATGGGGAAAAAAGGCAGATCTTATGCAACATGCATGGAAAGTACAAAACAAGTGGGGAACTTAATCTACAAATCTACAGCTCTAAAAAGAAACATAGAGGTCCTTCGATGAAGGCCTTATGTTCTCTGATCACTGGTACCTATCAATATCCTTATCAATAGAAAGCCTGAACACATTCATGAGTCCAGCCGCAGCAGGAGAAGAAGAGAGCACACAGAAAAATAAAGGAAGTACAAGTCAGGCCACAGAAAAAAAAAGGAGAACGATTTCAGCAACAAAAATGAAAAATGAACATGCAATGATATTTGCAATCAGCAAATATAAAAGGCAAGAAAACAAGCATGTAAAATATATTCTGATAGTTTCTAAACAATAAAAGACAAACGTCAAACAAAATGTCAGCAACAAGCTCTAAAAGCCACAAATGAATCAATAGACATCATAAAATGTTGTGTTTAGCCTGTTTTTGTTTGAAGGTGTTTCACCTGCCTGTTAGTGTTGTGGGATGACTTGATGTTCTTGGCGGAAATAATGTTCAGGGACAGGACGGCGTCGGCTGCACTGTCGTCCACCTCAGGCTTGTTCCTGATGCGACCTGGTGGAACACATCCATGTGATTACAACAACTCTAACTTTCTCTGGTGGAACGTGGAAAAAAAKCCCACTCTGTTTTCAGCAATGTTGTCAGTGTCCAGCTCACAGAAATGCTTCCTCACTCACAAACCTCTCAGGACAAGAGTGTCGACGGCTAAATGTCTAGAATGTGAAATGTAATTAATTGGTCCATCAGCTGCAGCTTAAGTATAAAAAGCTTTTATTTAAAGGCAGTCTTTAGAAAAATTGACATTTTTTTTCCACCACAACAAGACTGGGGGGTTCTACTTTTATGATGATGTGTCTAGTTGTCTGGGTCAACAGTGTCTAAACAACAAGAATTGAACAAAAACATTGTTTATTTTACATCTAAACTTTGACAGTAATATGGTTGCATCTCTTTTTATATAAGCTCAGGTGAAGAATTAAACTGAGGTAAAATAACTCACCCACAACCAGCTCTCGAACATCCTTCCAGTGGAGCTCGCTGCCCTTCTCGTGTATGAGGGTCACTGTGATCCTGCGCTGGATCCCCTGCAGCACAGTCAACAAAATATTAAGTTCCCAACCACAAACAATTCGATTTATTCTGTTAAAACCTCTGCGCACTTCTTATTCTTGCAAAACATAAAGAAAGAGATATCATCTGTGTTTGTTTTWATGTATATCTGTTGTTACCTGATGCAGAAGGTAGGTGCCGTGACAGGGCAGTCCTGCACTGTGATCCACTATAGCTGGGATGTACCTGTGGATGGAGCGAGGTCATACTCAGTCTAGGTGTGTGYTATTATGAGCACTGACTTATGACTCCACTCCTGCAGAGTAGAGCTGTAAAAACGTCCTTTTAAAAAGTTCATAACGTTTATTCGTATGTTTGTTTTTGGTTTTTTACAACACACGTGAATGAACGCCGACACTTACTCTCCAGTTGGCTCCAGCTCGCTGATCTCAAACCAGACGAGAAGGTCATACTTGCTGACACAATGGCCCAAGTTTGATTTGGTGATCGTGTTCAGCTTGGTGGCTGGAACTAAAGCAATCAAAACACATAAAGTCTAATTAATAAAACAATTACCTGAATATCAGAAATGACGAACTACAGCAAGAGGAAGAGGCAGACTAGATGTTTTTAATGGCTAAACGGCCATACGAGCCTGGATATTTTTATATAAATGATTCCCTGCAGAAAACAAGCTAAAAATAAAACTATGGCTGAATGCAGTGAACTCACAGATTACACCATAACTGACAGCATCCTGTTGCCTGACACATCACCAGAATTACGCTGCAGTTGAATCAGGCTAATCTTTCATTCATTTTAATGTAGTTAAATAATTCCTCTGCTATAATTGGACTGCAGCTAAATCCATGGATGTTTTAGCCCTCTGCCGTCTGATTTAGGCTTCTTTAGTTAAAAAAAAGAAAAAAGGAATTCAATCATTTACCTRGACATTCTGCAAATGCAGTACATCTACTGTGTTTAAGCAACAGAGAAGGGTTGGACTGAGCTGACTGGACCTAAATGCACCTGCAGTGAAGCGCGACACACTGCAGAGCCCCAGCGTACCTGCAGTCACAGAGCACTACGAGAGCAAAGCGCTAGTCTAATCCAAAAACAGCACAGGTGCGTCTAAAAGGCTAACACCAAACACCAGTTMTACCAACCGTGGTGCCTGGGCACGGTTAGCACGGGGTCGTTGAGCGCGAGGAGGAACGGGAAGTGCGAGAGCTGGTCAGCCTCGTCCTCCAGACTGGCCACTGCAGTTGAGGCGAGGGCGTTTGCGTGCTCGGACAGCGTGTCCAGCACRCTGCCGTTCACATAGCCGCTCACAAGGTAGCGGATCAACTCTATCTTACGGGTGTGGTCTGAGTGTGCGTCGTCGTGTGAACCGTGACAGAGATTGGAAGGGATGTGCGTGAAAAGAAAATGTGGAAGGAGGAGGAGGAGGAGGAGAGATTTGGGTAAGAGGATTAAAGATTGCAGAGAAATGATTCAATAAGAGACGAGAAAAATCCAAAGAAAGCACAAAATGAAAAGAGTGCAAGGATATGTGATTCATGCTTAGATAACCTAAAAAAGAACATAAAGTTAAGGTGCGTTGAGAATACGATTTAAAAGTTTTTCATTTTCATACCTGGTTTAGACAGAGGCATGGGAATGGGATAGTATTTTCTTGAAGGAGTTGGAGGACTGTTTGGAGAAAAATAATTGTGACCATAAAATAGTATTTCATAACAACACATATCCACCATGCAACAAATTCGAAGCGGTTAACAAAAACTGTTTATATGAAAGATAAATTCATTTCAACTGACCTGATCAGGTCCTGACCATGAATYTGCAGCGGGTGCTGCTGGTAGTGACCAAACACCTCAAACACAATGGGCTTGGTCTTGATGTACTCAATAAAAGACTCMGTGACTTCCACTGAAACCTGCAAACACAGTAACAAAACACACAAGTCAGCCTCAGATAAATTACACTTTATGTGCACGGGTTTTTGTGCACAGGTTTACTCACATTCTGAACGTGGTAAAAGCCCAGAGGAGCTCCTTTGCCTGTGTTTTTCAGAGGCTCTGTGGAAAAAGCCTCATCGTGACGATGAAGGAAACTGAGAAAAAAGAAAAATAAAGAYTCGGAGGATGTTAAAGGAGACACATCAAGCTTAAAATCCTTCTTTTTTGGGGGTCGTCTTCCTCGTTATTGTAACTTCACAAGGSCCTCTTTCACCCCTTTTATAAAGATGTGTCTCAGATCAACTCATTTTGAGGCTGTCTCTTTAATTTACTTCAAATGTACGTTTGTTTTCTGCAGGCTTATTTTWAAAATAAAGCTGCAGTAAGTCGTTTAGTCTACTAGAATTTTAATTTTCACTTTTAACAAAAAAGTAGTGTTTCCCTCACGTGATAGCTGTYCAGCTTCAACATTAAAAATGAAGGAAAAAATGCTGACTCACTTGAACTGACAGAAGATGTCAGCGTACTCCGGTGGGATGCCGCTGGCCTGGAGAACGGTAACCCGGAAGGTAAAGATGCTGCCCACCTCCAGCTGGCCTGCCAGCCCCTCTCCGTGGCTCAGCTTCGTGTCTTTGATGTTACCCAGTTTAAGGTCTGAAATCAACAACAGGCGAGCTCAGAGACATGACTTCCGAGGTGATTTATCAAAAGTGGCCAACAGCTGCAGCTGTGACTGGGAGCTGCTGTTTGCATGAGAGTTCTAGGCTCCAGAGTTTCTTTACTTTTTAAAACGTGATTTGTAGAAACTGCTGTTCACTGATAATTTAGCCTTTGAACAAATTCCTTCACAAAAACGGCACCAATCTAATATCCATGACAAAAAAAGCAAAGTCCTGTTTTGCATTTAACAGGACCATCTGCCGAGTGTCGTCTCCCCTCTGGCCTGACAGGTTGAAATTTACAGACAAGAGGTGAAGGTCTGGCAGCCGTACCCATGTCGTTGAGTCTGTTGAGCTCCTCTGAGGGTGTGATGACCTCTGAACTTTGACCCTGACCCTCCACAATGCGCAGCTCTTCCAGGGACAAGCCGGAGCGGGTCATGACATTAGAGGGGAAATCATTCTGGACGGATAAAAAAAAACAGCTAACATTAGCATATAGCTGGTGGAGAGAAATTCAATATCCAAACATAAACCAAAGATTTTTGTGCTGTGCAGCTATGGTGTATTACGTCTGCTATGGTTTATTATATATTTCTGAACGTTAACACTCAAAATTACACACCACAGTCTTAAAAACAAAAATAAAAGTGAGTTTTAAACTCCTTTCATCTGACTTTGGGCTTACCTTTTTGAAGTACTCATRATCAAAAGAAATCTTGGCGGTTCCCGACTGTCTTACTCCTGACCCGTAGTCTGGAGCCTCCTCGTCAGCTACAAAGAGACAAACCAAACCTCTGATCACAATCTGTCACAGACACAGCTGACTTAAAACTGCCACAGCACATCAAACAGAATRTCTAAAACATCAAGGAGAACCGCTGCTGTCAGCAGATCTGTAGCTTCAGGACAGCCCCTCCTCCTGTTGCTCAGAAGTCAGAGCCACACTTCTTTCAGTATCAGCAGGGAGTAAATTATTTTACTGAAACAGTTTTTTTTAAGTCGGCTTCATTATCCGTGCATATCAGAGAATCTTAATATTTACTTACCAGCTATAGCCTGGACCCCCACGCGCAGGAAGCCTCGCACCTCTCCCTTCTCCGTTACTACAGCAACCCGGTGAACGAGTGGCACAGGGTACAGCAGGTTGCTCAGGTACACAAAGGCTCTGAGAGTAAAAGGGAGATGAGAGAGATGAGAATCTGAGCAGCACTCATATCCAAATGTCAGAAACATCAGAAAAATGAAACTGCAATCCTCTCTGCTTTAATTAAAGCAAAGGATCAGTTCTGCAATCCAGTGCTTTAAGCATCTATGTCCACATATGTTTAGTACATATTAAAGACAACAACAGCATACAGTAAAAAAAATGTGACAATTATGCAAAGGAGCAAGTTAATAATGACATAACTAAAATAACATTAAAGATGCTTTAATGTTATTAAAAAGCAGCAGCAGGAAAAACTTTCTTTAACTGCATGATGGGGCTTTGACAGATCACCAGGATGCAGCAGTAAAGGCTGTAAAAAAGTGGTTTACTGTGTTGTGTTAGGACAGTGTTAGTCACTACCGCTGACATTCAGTTTTGTTCATTTGATTTGTTTTCATAGCACCTTCAGAGACGTTCTCTCTCTCTCTCTCTCTCTCTCTCTAACCCATAAAATCTCTCCATCTCTGTCTGGGCTGAGAAACTCAAGGCCAAGATGGAGGAAAAGAGATCAATGTGTGGAAGCTGTGAGGTCACAGTGACGCAGGTATCGTAGCTACTGCAGTTTTGTCTGGCTGGAAGCCCGCACTCATCTGTCATCTTATTCTGAGACTAGAACACAGTCCTATTTACTAATCTGTTGTGTTTACAGAACACGGCATACTCAATGTGCTGTGGGCTTTGAAATAGCTAAATCCTTCCAGTTCTGAGATAATGACTAAAAACTTAAATAAATAAAATAAAATAAAAATAAATAAATAAATAAATAAAATAAATAAATAAATCGCAGCTTGATGTTGTGTTCAGACCCAGATCAAATTAGAACATTTAAACATTACAACAGTTTATTTTGGGTTGGTTACTAATTACACATTTGTTTCTAAGATGCAACTATAGGACGTAATGATGAATAAATAAAAACACAAATGTTATTTTGAAACTATTTCCAAGCAGTCCAGATTAGAAAATACTAGGAGAAGGCACAGCTGCTGACTGCAGGAAGATGAAACTGTAATCTAAGAAATTATCTTTTATGCAAAAGGATTTACTGAAATGTTTTATTCAAAACATTTGTTTGTTAAAACGATGGAATTTTATTCATTCATATTGATCAGAGGAAGATGTTTTATCTGTAATTATTGTTCTGATTGTTGTTGGCATTAATTGGATTCATTAGGATTTCACTATGTTAGGAAACAATTTGCAATCCAGCAATGCATCACATGTCATCCGACGTACTCAAAGAAAGTTCATGTGAATAACAGCTAAATATCATTTTAATAGGTTATCTGGATATTATTTAATCTGAATGAAACATATCTATGTAGGTATGATCATGTGACAGTCAGCTGCTCGTGAGGTAACATAAACCACAATACAGTTCAAGACCAATGTTAAAACAAAACAGGGTTACAAAAACAAGTTTTTAACAAAAATAGGTGCAAATAACAGAAATCAAAAGGACACCAAACCTTAAAATCATAAAAATAGAAAAATAAATGACGAATACTTAGTTTGTGCACAATAAATACACGCACAGATGGGAGTTAATACAGTCAGCACATCGGTGATGAAGGAGGATGAGACGTCTTAATGAAGGAGGTGGGCAGAAAAAGATGGTGGCTTTTCAGTTTTCAGGAAGTGAGTCCAAACTACAAGTAGCTTATAAAACACTGAGCACAGAACTATGACTAATCTTTTACCTTTTTTTTTTTCAAATTCAAGGAGTCTCCTCTGAATTTATGATCTGATTAACAGAAGAAGCTTAACAGATTATTAATGAATTATATGCTTGTGGTGTTGACTCATTTCTGAGTCTCTGATATGTTGGGCGTCAAATTAAATAAAAAATATATGTTTGATCATTTTAACTGCTGCAACACAAATTCGGTCATCTTTATTGTGGATTAAACCAAGCCAACACCAGCTATCCTGCCCTAGCCTCTGTGTGCAGAAGGACAAAAAAAAAGCCCCCTGTCGATCACCAACCTTCCCACCAGGATGAACCAGGGGGAGCGGTCGTAGAACGGGTCCTGGCCATCGCTGAAGATGTCCGAACCCTCCTCGGTGCCTGCGTCCGAGCTGGTGTCGTCCACAAACGCCTCGTCGTCGATGAAGTCGGACATCTCGCTCTGGCGCTCGTCTGCAAGCTCTGTGATCTCGGAGTCGGTGGTGGAAAAAGTGGGAGAGGGTGTGCGGTCGACCATGTGCTCATTAACGCAGCCTTGGAAGATGGGGGAGCTGAGGGYGTTGGCAGTTTGGGAACAGTGGCGAGAACCAAGGAAAAGTAACAGTGGAGTCACTGAAGAGTTAAAACGAGCCACAGCAGCTCTGAGAGACATCAGGGTCATATTTCACTTACAAATATTTCTGGATGTTTCAAGACACACAKAAAAAAAATACTAATGAATAATCCACCAAAACTGAGTGGATGATAATCAGTAAAAAAATGAGCACATTTTTTTTAAAGTAACCACAATCATTTCACAATAAAAGCTATTCAAAAAGCTTTTGCAAAAGCAGGATTCATTTCATAAAGAGCAGGTATTAAGGTGTCACGGCAGATTTTAAAAACCTGACCGCTTTAAACCCAAATGAAACACCAATTCAGTGGATTAACACAGAAATCTGCTCATGTATGCTGCGTGAAAGAGGATAAAATACAAAAACGCAGCACATTTCCACATTATCCAAACTCAGCATGACGTTAACAAGCTTCTGTGTAAATTACAAGGGATAAATAAATGAGAATGGCAACCAAAACAAAAGGACAATGTGARGTAAATAAAAGGAAAACAACACATGATGACAGGAATACAACTCAAAATGAAATGTCAAAAATAATACATAATGAAAATCACAAATGTAACAAAATGCACTGAAAAATTTACATGAGTGYCAAAGCATAAATGATTAAACGTGAGCCTTAAATGGCAAATGATGACAGTGAAAAATGAAAAATAAACAAGCATACAAAAATACAAAAACCGATCTGGCTCAAACAACATACAAAAACTTGTTTGTTTTATGTGTAATATTGTATGTGTGTGTTGTGTTACACACCTCCCAACGAGCTTAAACCAGTGGAAACGGTCATAGAAGGGATCATTTCCTGTCAGCGTACCCTCTCCATCATCCTGGTGAGTGGAGGCCATTTCTCCAGCCCGGTCGTACATCTCTCTCATCTGGTCCAGCCTCTGCCTGCAAATGACGACAGAGAGCACTCAGTATTAATGGGAGCAGAACATGCAGCTCGTTTAACCGCCGGGGTGAAGAGATGTTGGAGTGATAAGCGGCAAGCTCAAGAAAAAAAGTACAAATACTGCAGATTAATGGTCTTTAAACACTTGATTATGCTTTAAAAAAAAACTTCATTGTTCTCTATGTTTTAGAAGCTGTTAGCTATTTTCAAATACAATCTTTAAAGATGAAACATAAACAGTTAAACTAAACCCACAGCTAGGTTGTAGGTATTAGTACAAGCCTTACTTGAGTTTTTCCAGGGACCAGTAGTGCGTGGCTCCATTCTTCAGGTCTTGAACCTCGACGGCCACCACAGTGCGAGGGAAAGGCCTGGGGTCGCGCTCTTTCTCTGGCTCTGGGGGCAGAAGCTCAGGGGGCAGCGGAGAGTACAGCGTGTCTGTCAGCAAGACAAACTGGAACTGGACCTGGGGACAGGACAGGTGATCAGTCATGTAGAACCTGGACATGGTGGAGAGTATAAATCACACTGGTTTCAAGATGAGGAGGGGATGTTCAACTACAGCAGATCAGCTCTTGATTTGTAACRATTTCAAACGATAAATTTGACAGTGGGCTCAACGCTGTAGTCTACTTAAGTTAAAAACAAACGGCACAGATCAGACCTTTTAACCAACATTTTTAGTCAGAGTCCAACAAAATCATCATCTTTATGAAAAAGGCACTTCATTTTCTTTGTGATGCTCTTTCTCCTCCTGAACCCTTTCTTTGTTTCTTGAGACATTTTGTCAACAGACTATGCAACACACCATCCTGTGATGTGATAAAACAGCCTTGAATCCGACTGAGAGGGTAAGTCRATGGTAACAAACTAAAGATAAAGGAGGGATGAATAAACTCCTTTTTTAAGGCTTATAGGTCAAAACAAACTAACTTACCACAGATTCTCAAAAGTACAACCCAACAGTGCCTTTTGCATAGATCTGCTACTTGTAATTAAGTACATATGGTATACACCAAAAGGAAAACTTAACCTATCAAAATCAAAAGARGATCAATAAAAGTGGAAACTACACTCACCGGCCACTTTATTAGGTACACCTGTCCAACTGCTCGTTAACACTTAATTTCTAATCAGCCAATCACATGGCGGCAACTCAGTGC